CCACCCGAATTCAGTAAACAGGACTGCCCCCCAGCGGTTTAGCAGTGGCATGCGGATGAATATTAGTTGGAAGCACCCATGGGAATATGAACATCTCCACGTTTGTTTACTTTTTGAACACCACTCAAGGTCACCTGTGACCTTCGCATGCCATATAACTTACGGTTTTTAATTTCGTACCCTAAAGCGCGTCCATCATCCGCTTTAGTCGGGCAGGTTTCTACGCGCCTTCTCATTCTTCTGCCTATCTTTATTTTGCCATTTGGATTCACATCGCAACAACATGGTAAAGATTAACACACAGCCAGGAAAGTCCTATTGCTTGAACACCCTTACAGGTGCTCGATACAATGCGCATTCAAAGCACTCACCGAAAAAGGGTTTCAGTGGGCGAGTGCCCGTACAAAATGAATTTAAGGGGCAGGATGTGGATTGTCGACAAAAGTGACATTGGCGGCCAGTTTATAAATGGAATCACCCAATACCACTGCGCTTGTTGGAGCTCACAGTTGGGCTATAGAGATAGGGCTTGAAGAAACCCAGTAGAATGTCAAAAACTGTTCACAACAAGCTTTCCAGAATGACACGTGTCTGTCAACATTGTCTTTGATTCGACACTGGTTGAAAAAGGCGGCCGAAGACTTCATTCGTTTTGTTAGCAACGACGACCTGTTGCTACTTTCACTTTCCCCCTTCCTTAAATCATTTCCTGGCCAGGATCACGCAGTCTGCGCAAAATAAATTAGATTGATTTCATGTTGCGGGATTTAAGGCTCAGACAAATTGACCTCCATTCATCCAGCCCACTTTCATTTGATTCCTTTACCGTTGTATCGTTTCAAACTTATCAACCCATACAGATTTGCTTAGTAATATTTCCCTAACAATATTCTTTAAACCACGAAACGTCCCGTCGCTAGAACGTATTGCGCTAGCAAGCACGTTCAGACATTCTTGGTCCCACTCACACTTATTATCCAAACAGCAATCAATCGGTATTCACCAGCCGGTTTGCTGATAGTGTTCAGCGCCCTGGTATTCACCAGTAGTTCACCAAAATCCTGTTGTAATAAATTCATGTCGCATCTCCTGGAAGTTAGCGGACGTTTCTTGACATCCAGATCATGGACCAACTCTACATTTTTTACCACTTTCAATCAACGCACACGAACACTTCAATAAGAGACATCCTGTTTGAGTTAACCGAATATAGTTTTTTAATCATGCTGGGGCTGCCATAAATGTACCGATCAAAAAGACACCACTATACTCATGTGACTTCTCATTCGGGAGAGAGCTGGTCAGGTAAATCGACGATAACCCCTATTAGATAGCTAATTGGAAACTGCAAACTTTAGAAAGGGATTATGCGGCTGAATACCCGGTTTTCTGGTACCTGGTATATATTTTGCCGTAGAGTACTCCATAATATTTGCGTAGGCCTAACCGCCTTTTTAAGGCACGTCTTATCCGATACATTTAATCTCATGGAGATATTCCACGGCAGATTTAATTTATGAGGGCAAGACACATTGAGTATCCATCCAAATCAGGTATGCGCCAAAACTTGTGTGCAGATGTAATAGACAGTAAATAGACAGTGATAAAGTTAGACCGACTTTTTACCAACACGAAAACACAACAAAATCCGGTCATCCGCATGAGTAGTTTTTACACACGTTTGCACCGTTGTTGTTAGTTCTCCATAATACCGCGAATAAATCTCAAGAAAGCTAGCACGCCGAAAAGAAAGTTGGCTTCCTAGTTTATGTAGCAGATAGCTCGATTGTGCTGTATGTGAATTGCCGCACTGGTGATATCGGATCATGTGGTAAATAAATGTCTCAAACAAGCTAAACACCATCAGTTTTCTGCTTGTTATTGAACACTGACAAACAGTGATTTAGGTGGCATTATGTTCGAAGAACGGATATGTTTGCCCTGTTTACAGTTTAAACCCAACCTTTCAACCGTTTATTGTATGCCGGCGTTTCCGAAATGATGCAGTCATTTTATGAAAAGTTTTCAGTGGATTGCCAATACTCTTTGCATGTTGTCCAGGTAGACTTATTGGTAGCCAATAAGTTCGTCCTAATCCCAAACAGCACACATACTGGCAGCGCATTTCCGTCGGTCAACTCCTAAAGAAACCTCGGTCCAGAATAATCTTACATGAGGGCCGAGTTGGGTTATGAGGATCTATCTGATATCTCCAAATGTTTATTAAAACTACTCAAATGAAAATCCGGTAGCTAGTAGAAATTAGGAAAATTACTACTGTATTGCAAAGTTATTCTAACTATAGAGTAGTATTCATACTCTTCTGCCTCGCTGTCGCTGTAAAGGGTAACCCAAGGCTGGTGATGGAGAGAAAAGCTTCCTGATAAACCAGAACGGTGAACCATGTGAACCGTCACATATTTTAGCGGTTTGCTTTGACTAGTGTCCTCATGCAAATTTCACAAAGAGTACCATTTACAGTTTCTAGTTCTTAGTGCTGACTCATGTAATTTAAATTATGCATCTACAGCAAATACCTCCTTGCATCAGTCACTATTAATAAAACCTTGCAATTCGCCTCGTACCGGCCTGACAATTTGTAGCAAAATGGTCCCGGCCATCCATAAATCTAATATTTCTAGAAATTTCTTATGCCAGCTAAGTTCTTACATGCTTTCAAGAATCTCTTGCAAAGGTCCCTCAAATTCTTGAGGTTATTTCAGAAAGATTTTTCTTTGGGTTTTCTAAAGAAAAGTGACTTCCAAAAACTTGAAACATCTTGGCGCAGTATTGAAAAGTCAACAATGCACGTAAATCTTTCCGTAGCATTCAAATCCTTAATGTTCTTTGAATTGGCAAATTATTTAGTAGCTCATTACAAGTGGTACGAAACCCACTGCTAACAATGAATTCTGTTGAAAACAAGGTACGAATCTACTTTTGCTCAACCGACTAGTTGCGTTTGGACAGAGAGGCGACACTGGACCTTTCAATATTGTACACAAAGCAAACAAACTCACCCACATACTGCCGAATGCCAATCACAGCGATAAAAATGATGAGAAGGCCTCCAGTGAACTGATAATTCAATTGATCCACAAAGTCTACACCTTCTCCCCCGTAAGGTGTGTAAAATACTTTACCTATCCGAAGTACTGAATCAGGATTCATCCTGGGAAAGACAAATCCTATGATCTATTGTAGATGAAAAACAGGCGGGCCGACAATTTCCAAACTTCGCTTTTTCTCTGGTTTGAATCGAAGTGTATGATATTTAACAGGCACACGACTTGTAAAATGTGACCAGAGACGCTGAAATTCGATTATACCGTTCATCGTTTCTATGCATGTTACGGCCGAACCTCGCTCAGATCCATTTAGTTCACCGTTGCGGATGAACGGACAGAGTGATCGTTTGGTTCAAAATTTTCCGAATGGACTAAAGAGTGAAAACACTGTTTATCTGCCGTGTGGAGCAGTGTTGCAGCCTTGTTGTCAGCATTTATTGAATAAACATCCTCGAATCTCCATTAGAACAGTGAATGAGTCCCAAACATTGCTTGCATCCGTAATCACAGCGATGAAACCTAAACAGAAGTTCAAAAGTAGCTCCCCACCTCCAACCCCACTTTTGACTTTAAAATGAGTGACCAGGTGATTGCGGGGCGAGCTGTCATTCATCCGGTTTCCCAACGTTATATTGTGCGCATTTGAGGTAAGGACATGCGCTTGGTGGACAGGCCCTCTACTACGGTGTCTGACAATGGGAAAACACGATACGCGTACAACCATACAAACACGTTCACACTGGCCCAACCTATTGAAGTGCAACAGCGGGAAATTCCAGCTAAACTGAAGTGATATTTATGCTGCATCGCCCGAGCGAACTGAACTGCAAAGAACAAAGGTATAACTTACACTTTCAAGATGGCCGATAGCTTAGGCAAATGAGAATGACATGGTTAGCACTACAGTACACAGTCCCTGAACGTATTCGTGGTCAACTGACTGGCGGTGGTGACCATAAAATTAGGTACGGGCAAGAATTTGTACACGTTACAAGCAAACGATAAGTAATGGTGTGTTGGACCTGATCCCTAAAAGGCCTCACGTGGTCAAAACGCACTCAGCGTGATAATCCTACTTGATTACTGACAGGACACTGACAGGACACTGACAGTGATTTTCGATGCGTGAAGGAAAACCGAGTAGTCTTAAATGAACGAATGCCGGGGATTGAAGGTAGTTCGGTTGACAAGCAGCTGAGAAATATGGAAATATGGCATTATGACTTTCCAGGGCGAGTTTATTGTAGGGTTATCTACCACCTCTTTGGTCTGTGACACTGGGCGCGACGTGAGACTGTTGGGTGCATGATTGTCTAAACAGATCGGCGGTCATCACTTTCGTTCCAGTGAACCCGGATATCTATTGATTGTTCTGGGATGTTCTTCTGAATAGGGTTTCGGAAGACACACTATTATAATGTGCCGTATGTTGCAAAATACTGCCTTTCACAGGTGGAAGCTGATGGGTCGTAAAAATGCAAGTTGTCAAAGGTAGTGGTGCCGATAAGCTCGAACATTACTCAAGTTCATCCTTCACTGCTTATTCCCAGTTTGGGTACTCTTTATGGCTCCGTTAATATGCGGTGATGTAATTCAATCTCCCTTCACAATTAAAGGAAAATATCAGCGACTGCTGGTGGTAATCGTCATCATTCCACAAACCTCAAGGGAAGTTATAAGCACTTAAGCATTCAGCCACGAACGACTGATAATCACTGCGATTAATTGGCGCAGATTATATGCTGCCACTCCTTCTACAATCATGGAATCCACATCACATGGTCATGTGTTAACGTGCTCCCGATTAACGACTTCTCAGATAGACGGTGGACTCACCTTGCAAAGTGATCCTTTTTCTGAACAGCCTATAAATGATTGGTAGTGTCAGGAGGTAATTTTCAATAAGGGCGAAACCGGTCGGGGCTGTCGACGGATTTTCAGCAACCTTATGAGTAGTACATTACAGTGGTAAGGAGATTCGAAATCGGTCCTGGACTATACCATGCCCTCTGGGGACACGAAACACTTGAATGTATGTTTCTGAGTCAAACCAGTAGACAAATAGCATTTATTCAATAGAGATTTCATACTGTAAGTGAAGCCAGTCTATCTTGAAAAACTGAGAAACACCGCACAGCTTTGTCTTCCTCACTGGAAATCATCAGCAGTGCGCGCCTCACGAAACCGCACGTGAACTCCAAGCTAGTAGATTGAACATTTAGCCTTTCGACGACCATCAGTGTGATTGCTACCACTTCCTTTCAGGGTAACCTCGTTGTACAGAACCTGGCTCTCCTTACTCACCGTTGATTTAGCGGGAATAATGTGGTAACTCTAGTTCACAGAAGTTTAGACGAGCATCTTTTCAATAAAATAACATTCTATACAGGATATGCCGACTAGTGTTTGTTTTGTGAACTTAAACACGAAGTTGAAATACCACTGGGAAATGGATGCTTTGCAATGGGTTAAGTGTAGTTGCAATCAGCTACCAGGTAGACAAGTGAGCCATTGTAGCCGTGGCTGTTGATTATGTCATCATATTCTGTTTGTGTAGCTAGGCCACAAGGCAATCACGTCTTTTTATTTTCTGTTTATGAGGGACGGAATTTGAAGAAATCTGTGAATGGACCTAAGACTTCAGGTCAGACGGAGCCGCCGGACGGAACTTGAAGCCAAGACGCTTTGCTCGCCGAACGAATATTGTGCCAAATAAAGCACCCTGAACGTTACCACACATTGCACATATACACCTGGCTTCCAATTGATTTGGCACATGTCTGCTTGTTGGATCAATAGTTGATGCCTGTTAGCGACATTCCTCGTGCGAATTTCACACTGGGCCACGGGTCGCTACCACCATTATTATCGAACCCATCGTTTTTCGAGAGTTAGGTCACGGGACCCATTTAAATGATGGGTTTCACCTTGGATATAAGACCAACTATCTTTCAGCCTCTGTTGACAAAACGCTCTGCTCAAACTCTGTTATGGCCTCCAGTTGTCTCTGTTCAGAACACATAAGCTAGCCAGTGCGATTGAGATCTTAAGAACACATAAGTTACCTGAATACTCTTGCGGCTGGTGAAAAACCTGTGCAGCTCAGGGATCAGTTTGTCTTTGTGTTCCACACTTGACGTTAGCCAAGTTTTGTTGATGTAATTTATATGCTTTTTTTCCACGCTGATCTTCACCTCTTCATTTGCGAGGTCTAGTTTTTTCGACAAAATGTTTATCGAATGGATAAATCCCCTCCAGTTGAACTGCTCTGTTGTTCCAAAGTGAGAATTGCTTCTCCAAGCCATGTTTCCTTTCTCAATGAGCAAAAGTTTTGAATATTAACTGTGACGGTGGTTTCTAACAATAGAAACATTTATAAGAAACTGATGGTCATTGTAACTATATGAAAGTGCACCTGCTACATTCGGAGCAGCTGCAGTTCAATGTGTTTGCTGGCTTCTTGATAGCACTTATTGTTACATTTAACTCTTTTTAACCCCTTAATATTAGTTCACAGCTGTCGTGAGATCACCGCTCCCCTAAGCTTTTAATGTTGCAGCACCATGACAACAAATGATGTGAACAGCTTTAGTTTGGCGAAATAGAACACTATTATCAAAAAGTGTTAGAAAGGTGTTTTTCAGGTGAATTAGTTATCAAATGAGCAATTGGAACGTTTTCGCTAAACAAATCATTGACAAGTATAATGTTTACAGAATTTTGAAATCCACAACTAGTAACTGAGACTAAACATGATAGACGAATATTGCGGTATGTCGAAAAGCTTTTTCGCTCGCCCACGCTGCTAAGAGATCCACACAATCTCAATATCCTGAGCATTTGCCATGAAAAATCCTTAAAAACTAAAAAATTAATAGAAAGCCCAATAATGGCACATGCATCCGTAGTTGCTTTATACCCGACTGTTACACCGGTTTTCTGCGTATTCAGCACACATCAATCTGCCCCAAGGGGGACCTATATAGATCGATACACTTTCCAAAATATACGCACTAGTATCGCTCGACCGTTGTGACTTGGTGCACATCTGTACTCCGACGCGGAATATCTCATTTACTAACAACTTCTTGAAGATGCTGAATGAGCCTGTGAAGAGTTATACGCAAAGCCCCGGGGGAAAAGAAACTGGGATGCCGTCTCTTAGATATGTACCGTATCTAGCCGTTTTTCGGACACTTTGGAGGACTAAAAGTCGCTATTTACGTCTAACAAAGCGCTCCGATGATGATATTTTTCAGAGATAGGAAACCAGCTAGTGAAACTAAATCTATGATCCTTGTTCGCAGGATTTCATCTGATTCAGTAAAGCGCATGAGAAATGTTCCCTCGAGTGAGTTGGCCTGAATGGTGTGAAGATGTTTTTGGTAGATCCAAAACCGTGTGGCTGTGACTTTACGAAAAGTGAGGCTGAACGCGGAATTTCATCCAAGAGTCAAGACTCATTCAAGACTCAAATAGGCACCATCTTCAAATATCAGTGAGATCAAGCACGATTGAATCAACTTAATAATACCACATTTGTTAACCACAGATCAGACAGTTATCAACAAAGCATTCTCAACAAAATGATGAAATTCTACTGTAAAAACTGACTGAGACCGTAAATCTTACTTTGTAAGGGAGACTAAGATTCCCTGTGATCCACCAAAATGGTGGAAGGTGGAAACTGAGGAACAAAAGGAATATAGGCCATCGGGAGTAACTGACAGACGAACACCCTGCATGACAACGTCGAGAAACACTGATGAACACTGATTTTCTTATTATTTGCATGAAACAATTAGTCCAGATCTCTCAAACAAGTGCACGTACAAAAACGACCTTGGATATAAACGGAAATTGACAAAACTGCGGCAAATTGTGTGGAGCAATGTCATGTTGTTTTTGTATGGTGTGTCAAGGTGGGTGGCAAGTAGTAACAATTCCAATCAAATATTATCCATTCAACGTTTACAGACAACAATTTGAAACAATTTGTCACTGTATATATGTAATGATTGCAGAGTTGTGCGCACAAGAGCCATTTAAGGCATGCAACCAAGCGTAACTTTAGACAAAGATAGTCACAGCTTCACAATCGAAATAGAGTACTAGTTTCCGTATATTCTCTGTTCTAAAACAAAAATAAATATAGCCTTACATACTTCAGAACTAAACCACGACAAATTTTAACCTGTCACAAAGGGCGAATAGTTTTCTTAGAGAACTCCTGAGGATGAATTACAACTTCGGTACAGGAAACTTAACTGAAACCCAGCTGGTGTTCCTCTTTATCTGAATGTGCTGCGCGTACGCCGAGGTCAGAAACTTCTCACTGCAGGATTGATATTTGACTTGCTTATTTCTACTCACAAAACAAACAAGTGTACGTCATCGTCAGTGCAAAGCGTGTAGCGGTGATTCTGAGCATGAGTGTGTAAACTCAATCAAATCAAACTAATAGTCTGATCAACTTGGTTAGCGGTGGCACTATTGATTATATGCATACTGTTTTATTGTCGTTAAACCAGTCTCACCAACTCTCACTGTATTAAATGAAATATCCGGACGGCGATGTC